GATTACGACCAGCAAGGCCCCAGTATGACTATAACCTGACGAAAGGGGGATTATGACCAGCAAGGCCCCAAGTACGAATATAACCTGACGAAGGGGGATTACAACCAACAAGGCCCCAAGTACGACTATAACCTGACGAAAGGGGATTACGACCAGCAAGGCCCAAGTACGACTATAACCTGACGAAAGGGGGATTACGACCAGCAAGACCCCAAGTACGACTATAACCTGACGAAAGGGGATTACGACCAGCAAGGCCCCAAGTACGACTATAACCTGACGAAGGGGGATTACGACCAGCAAGGCCCCAAGTACGACTATAACCTGACGAAAGGGGGATTACGACCAGCAAGGCCCCAAGTACGACTATAACCTGACGAAAGGGGGATTACGACCAGCAAGTCCCCAAGTACGACTATAACCTAAAGAAAGGGGGATTACGACCAGCAAGGCCCCAAGTACGACTATAACCTGACGAAGGGGGATTACGACCAGCAAGGCCCAAAGCACGACTATAACCTGACGAAGGGGGATTACGACCAGCAAGGCCCCAAGTACGACTGTAACCTGACGAAGGGGGATTACGACCAGCAAGGCCCCAAGTACGACTATAACCTGACGAAAGGGGATTACGACCAGCAAGGCCCCAAGTACGACTATAACCTGACGAATGGGGATTACGACCAGCAAGGCCCCAAGTACGACGATAACCTGACGAAAGGGGATTACGACCAGCAAGGCCCCAGTATGACTATAACCTGACGAAAGGGGGATTATGACCAGCAAGGCCCCAAGTACGAATATAACCTGACGAAGGGGGATTACAACCAACAAGGCCCCAAGTACGACTATAACCTGACGAAGGGGGATTACGACCAGCAAGGCCCCAAGTACGACTGTAACCTGACGAAGGGGGATTACGACCAGCAAGGCCCCAAGTACGACTATAACCTGACGAAGGGGGATTACGACCAGCAAGGCCCCAATATGACTATAACGTGTCTTAATATCCTATCCGCGGATATACATAACGTCAACGGTCCCGCAAAATTCAACTTGCCCAAGGCCCCACACCCTCCTAGCGCCAGCCCTGATGGCAAGTATTGCTCACACTCACACCGACAATGCTTCTATTTTAAGTGCTGAATGGTTAGATGAGGATGATGTTGAATTGCCTGGTATATCAGTGCCGCAAGATGAAAATGATTAATCAGCTACTATAGACTATGCCCATCAGGGGCGTCACTTCAGGGTTTTTTCAGGGGGAGGGGGGGGAGGGCAAAACCAAAACTTGGTCGGCTTGTTAAGTTGTTTATTACACAGTACATAGCAATTTACATAAAACCTGAAAATGCCCCCCTGCCCCACCCAAATGATGTCCCTGATGCCCATTGTTACGATAGAGCAACACCTGGCTACTCCATGGGGATATGATAGCAGCTAGAAACTAAAGGCCTACAATAATTCCATATATATACTATTTAAAATTACTTAATACTTTTTTTAATGTCCTGTTGTTATACTGATGAAGGCATGTGCCGAAACGTCTATTTGTGTATTATGTAAAATTATTATTAAAGCTTAACATATAGTGTTTATATCGACACAAATTGTTCGTGTCTAATTAATCTATTTTAAAGCTTTATAGTAGTCCAATATTTCTATAATTGTCAGCTTTACTGACAATATTCATATTTATATCACAACCAATGATTTTTAGTCTTTAACAACCTTTCAATTGATTCTGCATTATAAAAATTACGTGTAAAAAATTTTTAACTAGTTGATTAACAAGCTAAACATGTAATAAAATGTTTTTCCAACAATTTTGTGACATTTAAATAGATCAGCACAAGTAAAATCTATTTATAAATTTATTTATAATATAATTCCATTTTTTTTCTGGGGGGGGGGGGGTGCATCTGTTACAATTGTATTGATTTACCCGGGGGGGGTCATTGAAAGTTTGACAGTTGTTGACAAGGGGTTGGGAGGGGGTCAAAAATAGCTTAAAACTATTGAAGTAATTAATGGATGACCCCTTTACATTACAGACACCAACCATGTTTTACGAACTTTCGAATCTATCATCATCTCTCCTGAAAAAAACATCATCTATTTCATGGTTAGTGTCTTTAGTAGTGTAGCATCGCTCCCTGTGGCGAGTTTGAATGCTAAAGGCAATGGTTTGGACAGAGAGGCGGTCGTGTGGGATGGGGCTTTAGAGATTGTGAGTAGCTTAAGAGGTTTGGAGGTGATCAAATTAAGTGAAGAGAAATCCGGAACGAGGATCATCATCAAATGAGAGTAGTATCAACTGTTCATTGTAATTCTGAAGAGTACACAAAATTACGGAAATAACTAAATAATCTAAATAGAACATTTATGGTTAGATAATGTATGTTTAAAACAATTATAAGATCAACTTTTCTTTATGGGTAAACCGATCATGAAATGTGCCATGATAAAGAGGGAAAAAATGTTTTTTTTAAAAAAAAAAAGAATAAATAGCTCCCCCTTACACTAAACTAATGCTCTTTTATTTTGCTATTTGCTAAGAGTAGTCTTCCCTAACATTGTTGTTGATATTGCATGGAATCGATTTTAGAATTGTATTTTTTGAAATATTAATTGTTAAAAATGTATTTATTCATTTCAGCAGTAAAAATTCCACATATTAACGAGTCATAAATTTAATTATGAAATAAGATAATATCTAATGCAAAGTAAAATTTCAGGCAAAATGAAAATGAATTCTTTGAATAATGTGGTATTCTTCCCCTCGATTTTGGTATCGTCAAGACCACCCATTAGTTAAGATGGCGGCGCCCATAAATAATCCTAATGCATCAAATCCACATGAGTTAAATGAATTCGGTATTCCTAAAAACATGTCAACAGATCATGTTTCGAATTTTAATTTAATTATAGATCACGTAATTGGTAATAAGAAGTTACCAAAGAAAGATGTAAGTGTTCCGATTGGGGGTATACCACAGATGCCCTTGACAAAGGAAGAGCTGTTCATTCGAGACATATTTGATAGTTGTGCTTTTAAGTCGTCAGCAAGTTGTGTGGTTGGTAAGGATAATTATTAGATTTATATTATCAAATTATTTCTTAGTAAAACATAAGGTTAATGAAACCTTTGCATTTTGCCTTGAACTCTGGTACTTTTTCAGTGTTTCCCAACCTTTTTATGATATTATATTACTTAAAATTAATTCAACTCCATCATACCGTTTCATCAGTATTACTAATTACATTAATTATGGATGGCTGCATTAAAAATAAAATTTCCACGTTATATCTTTACATTAATTTTTTCCTAAGAAAGCAATCCATGCCTTGGCAGCATCCTTTTTATAAACTGGGGGATAACCATTTAAAATTTATTTACCATTTCCTTTAAAATGAGAGATCCAATTCAATGTGAAAATGTGGCAAAACAATGGGATGGAATAAATTAGCATATAGGACGAGAGTGATTAAATGAATGTATGAGGCAAATCTAAATGGTAACTAATAGTAATTTAAATAGGCTACTATAACTGGCTAAAACTAAAGGTAATAAGAGGGAGAGACTGCAATCAGGTTAGATAGAGGGAAATAAGTATAAGCTAAACAAATTATGGGAAAACTTGAAAAAAGGAAGCAACAAAACAATCAATGTTTCAGCAAGAAGCCTTCTTCAACAAAGAAGCAACAGTAAAAACAATATAAAAATAAACATTTAGCCTTAGCTACAATGTAGTTCCATATCCTAGAAAACAGAAAGAGGAATGTGATCAAATAAAAGGAGGTGAGAGAGTTTATACAGGCTAAATGAGACGAAAGGGAGAAAAAGTAAGTGAACTGCGATTGGTCCTAACAAGGGTGCAGAGATAATGTTTAACAAGATGAAGGAGAACATGACTTTCATGCCAAATGGTGTCAAGGTCCCATAAGTGTCAATTAGTTTGTTCTCCAAGTTCACTCTGACAGCTGTGTTAGTTCAAGACACAATGGCAGGGATAACAAAATAGTATTAGCTTTTAAAAGTACAATATAGGCTTAGGCTAGTGTGCCGCCACGAGCATCCATTATTAATCTTGTTAATCAATTTATTCCAGAATTTGCATAGTTCTTTTTAAGGCAATAGAAACTTGTAAACTTTAATACTGCTGGCATATGTTAGGGTTTACTAGTGCTAGGATTTTATAAATATTCTACATATGTAGAGCAGGCCTACACAACATATGGCCCGTGGGCCGCATATGGCCCGCCAGCACCCATTTTGTGGCCCGCACAAGTCCTGTCCTATTTTCTTTTTGCCCTCACACGTTTTTCATAATGAATTACGGCCCGCCTTACATTTTGAGTTGTGCAGGCCTGATTTAGAGTATTCAAAATTATTATTATAAAAACAGTCCATTTTCATTGATTATAGCGGTGCTACAGGCTTGAACAAACAATTAGTGAAGCCTGAATTTTCTGCTTTAAACTTTTAAATGCAAGCAAATTCATTATTTTTGCATTTCAGGATTTGCTCTGGGTGCAGCATTTGGTTTGTTTACTGCTGGTGTTGACCCGATGTCTACAATGAGCACAGAGACACCCACCACACGAATGGTGCTGAGAGAAATGAAAGCCAGATCTTTATCCTATGGCAAGAATTTTGCTCTAGTGGGGGCCATGTTTGCAGGAACAGAATGTCTTGTTGAGTCGGTGAGTTAGATGACTTGCTTTTTTATCGGGGCCCGAAGTTTTATTTTGCACCTTCAGTTGACCAGCAAGGGTGACTGTAGCTCAGAAAATACTTTTCGGTCTGCCGAGTCATTTCTAAGGATGAAAACAATTCTAGATATTGAAAACTGAGGAAAACTCCTACAACAACGTTGCCGTTTGAAGGTTTCATTTTCTGTTTCTCAAGATAACTAATTTTTTGATTTATCACTGATCTATCACAGATTATTTCATTAACGTAAATTTTTTATATCAGTTAAAATTGCTTTAAATGATATAAATAAAGACATGGAATACTGTGGTGTTATTTTCTTTTTTCTTCTTCAGTATCGAGGGAAAACTGAGCTCATCAATGGAACAGCATCTGGAGCAATAGTTGGTGGAGTGTTGGGACTAAGAGGTAAGTTGTCAAATGAATTTAATAAGATTCTAACTTTGATATATCTTTTTTTATGATTCATTTTAACACGTTTTTTTATTTTAAAAAAATTGCATCTATAATTTCACCAAAGGGTTAACTTTCTAGTAGTTTCAAAACAGAATTTAAAAAATCTCCCTGCTGTTGTGTAGTTTTTAGGAAAGTTCTGGAATCTTTCAGCCAGTTATGTAGGTTCTAGGCACGTTTTGGAGTTTCTAGCTCACCTATTTAAATACATTTTTTTTTTCTAGCACAAACCAAAACAGTATTCAATATATTTTAACAGGACCTTATCTGTTTATTAGCTAGAAGTAGCAGACTCAATGAAAATCGTCTCTTTTTTTATTAAAGTTGTTTTTCTGTTATCTGTCTCTGAATTTCAGCTTTATTCAAAAGAAATACTGTCTGTGTCAAGACATATCCCAATCACTTTCATTTGTTCAGCTATCACAGTATCACTGGGCACAGTAGCAACCTCATTAATTTTAATTTTTTTTTATATTTAATGTTTTAGCTGGACTGAAGGCTGGTATATTTGGTGCAGTTGGATTTGCCATCTTTTCAACAGCGATAGATTACTACATGAGGCACTTGTAGCATTGGCTAATCACCAGATCATGCATCCTTGCAAGTTTAATAGTGTAGTCTGCGGAACTGACAGTGTCCATTTCAACATTCACATTAAATAAAGATGTGTAAATGGATTTTTAACTGTGATCTAATCCACACAAAAAAAATATTTTGTAAATGCTTACTTTCGGGACAATGTATAAATGAAAATATTTATAGTTGTTCTAATGAATGATGGTCTGCCTCTGTGACTTGGTGGGCATTTCAAGTCAGCTAAGAGTTTTATTTTAGCTTTTGTGGAAAACAGATATGTTTTTCCGTTAGTTATGACAAGCTCTGTCCATGATCCACTGGGGGGAGACCTTATTGAATGACTTAATGGCAGTTGGTGAGATTGAGCAATAAATGGGGGCTGTTTGATTGACCGCTAAGTGATTTGATTGAATGATTGACCATTGAGTGACTTGATGATTGTTTGAATGATCACTGAGTGACTTGATGATTGTTTGATTGCACATGTCTGTTTGACTGTCCATTGATTGACAAGCTCAGTTTTGTGTAATTTTTCTAAGTATGATGTGCTGTTAAGCTCCAATGTTTTTAACTAAATAAATGAATGGCATATATCTTGAATTTTAAAGCAATAGTTATTTCAGTATTATTTTTCTCTGTTCTTTGAAAATTTTAGCACAGGTCAAACCTCAGAAAATGTTTTTACCTCATTTTATTCATATACTTTCTTTTTGTAGGGAAAATGTCGGACAGGACGTATAGGTTTTAAGAAGGCTGCTATTTTAAATGTCCTTGACCTTGCTGATTTTAAATGGAAATCAAGTGAAAGCCTCAAGTTTCAACTTGAACAAATGAATCTGGAATGATGACATAATTATTTAATCTCATAGGAACAAAAACTGTCAAATGTATTTAATTGTTCTCTCCCTTTTAAAAATTCCTTTTTTTAAAAAAATCAATCTCACTACTTCCTTGTACTGCACATAAACAATTCAGATGAAACTTATTTTTAAAAGAATGTTATGTACTCATAAATAATTTGACACTAGTATGGCATTTAAAGTTTTAAAATAACATTTACTCATAAGCAAGGGTAGACTATACTTCTAACAATATGCTGACACTATTTCCTTATGACCGTTAATGCCTATTGAAAACACTGGAAGTTTTTTCCATGCTACTTGCTACCTATAAATTTCAGGCTTGCCATTTAAGATAGGCAATCTCCATGTTTGTCGTACAAGTTTTGCCACGGCAATCATAAAATCTATTCATGTCAGTTGCATGTAGAGCAATAAGAAGCCTAGTAGCTAGTAAAAACACCATTATTTTTTTTATAAGTCACCAGGAGTCTAACTCCTTGATACTCATACCGACATATGTCTAGAATTTGTCACTCCTATAATTTATGACACAAACTTACACCCTCAACAGTTATTGGAGTAGCTTGCCTTACTTACATCTACTACAGGTGGTGAGGGAGGGGGGGTGGGGTGTAGATTACCTTACCCACTACAGGTGGTGGGGGCTGTGTGTGTGTACACCCACGCAGGATTAAACAGATTATTTCATCGACTCCAAGGGATAACGTTCTGAAATTCAAAACTAAACCTCACCATGACACATTTACCGTTGCGTGGGGCAGAAGCTCATATTATCTATGTCTTGTGACTGGCATCTTATCAACCCAGTTAATTCTTTAAAAAATATATATAATAACAGCAAACATTGTTTGTGTTTCTTAATAGTAATGGTGTAGACTGTCTTCCACTTAACTTTATAACATGCTTCTGTCTTGGTGATTACATTTAGGCTCATTAGAAATATCAATAGTGAGAGCCTTATGATGGTGGACCAACGACTGTACGCAGATGGAGGAGCAGGCATATTTTCAAAGAGCTCCGCTCTGGGCAAGTGACAATCCAGGGGCATTGTCTCACATCTGAAAATTAAATCATGTTCACTTGGTGACCGGGCATCTCTGTAGAATATATATATATATTTATATATGTGTGTGTATTTACATATATATATATATATACCATGCATGGCATAGGATCTGGTTGATTTAAATGACCTGTTGTGAGCCCGCGCCTTCTTGGCAAGAGCCATGTCTGTCACAAGCCTGTCACTTTTTATGATTGCGCCATTCAAACTGTCACTATTGATAGCGTTAAAAAAAAGGTTTAGCTGAATTAAGAGTAATTACATTGCCATCAAAGGCGACATCATGGACCCCCCCATCACCTATTTCCCCAACCGCTCTTCTGTATAAAAACTTTGGGTAGGATCTTGGTGTATTAGTCTAACTTATCTTTTTTATGTCAAATTTAAAAAAAAAAAAAAAGTTTTAATTATATTATTTTTATCATCTTTAGAATCTAAAAATAGCCACGCCTCACTGATCTCAACATGACTGATGTATAAAAACATATTCATCGGGTTCCTTCCTTTCATTTTTGTATCCGCGCTTCAGTGTATTTGTTTGGGTCGCCATATGTTACTGTTCATAAACCTATAATCATTGTTGGGCCCACTAAATGTTTGAGGCGCCCCAGTCACACAATCACCCCCTCACCATGACGGGTCGGTGATTCGTCGATATCGTCTCCGACCCCTTTAAATAAATTAATCATGGACATGTTCTTCTGCCCCCCCCCACCCACACGCACACACCCTTTCCCCCATTTTGGGGGGTCAAATCTAGTGTACTACAGCTGTATCCTCTTGCCCAGGGGTGCATACCTTCATCTGTTCAACGATGTTGCCCCCTCACCTCCCCCCAGCCCCCCCCCCCCCTTGTATGTTACTGACGTCACCAAACATTGTCCTTTCTGCCCGGTTTGCTTAATGGACACAAAAATTGGAGTGGGAATATTGTCTGTAGCCTGATCATACTACGGTCTGAAATGGGAGACAATCAATCAATACAGCGCACCACGACAGGCGATTGTCTTACTTTATTGTAGGACCGTAATAATGAAGGATTGCTGTCTGTGTGTGGGGGGAAAATAAAAAGGGGGGGGGGGGGCTTCCTGTGCAAAGAAATACACGGGGGTTGACAAGAATTACATGATAAAAGAGTTACATGATAAAAGAATTCAGAATATTTGACAGCGTAGGGAGATAAGATTTTTTAAATTAGAAAAAAAAAAAAAAAAAGTTTTGACAGTTTCCTGGTAACATCCTGTGGCACCTACGTTCGAACTATCCTTCTAAGCCTCAAAGGTAATGCAGCTTCATATAATACAACTAAGAGAACAGGCACACACAAAAATGATTGTTGTTGTTGTTCGTTCGTTCGTTCGTCCTTTGCATGAGAAGATCACTAAGACTTAAAGTACCCGGAACTTACAGTACACGGTGATTGCGAAGGTGGCTTGCTATTCCGATTTGTGCCCGGAAAGCTTTCCCGCACGTGGTACATACGTTGTTTTGGGTCCTAGGACTTTGCTGGGAGGATTTGTGACGATTCTGATTTTCCTTGCAAGAAAAAAAAAAAAAAATAAACAGATGTTTTTATTTTTGTAGGGTAGTGGTCGGCAAACTCATTGGTCGAAAGGTCAGTGGTCGGCAAACTCATTGGTCGAAAGGGCAGTGGTCGGCAAACTCATTGGTCAAAAGGGCCAGAAATCAGCAGCAGCGGGGTGGTTAAAAAATTTTTGACAGTCAAAATTTCTTGTCAAAAGCCATGTTTTTCGGAGTCACAGCCGATTTGTGGCCGAGCCGCACTCAGGTCGCTAAAGAGCCGCATGCGGCTCGGAAGTCGGGATTTACCGACCACCGATGTAGGGTAATATGAGGTTATGACTGCTTTTAGGTTTAAAGCAATAACACTTATACACAGGATAGGAGAGAGAGGTGGGGGGAAGCTTTTCATGGCTAAGAGACAAGTTTTAAATTTTGATCTTGTAGCCAATACTAAAAATCTCCACGAGCTACGTAAGAAAGATCAGAGAGCCGTATGCGGTTGCAAGTTGCTGGATCCCGACCCCGGGGGGGGGGGGGGGGGGGGGGAAACCTGCAGAAAGCCACAAAAGAAAAAAAACAACATCCCTTTAGAATTAGAGTGGATCTTGATTTTTGTACGGTTTATATGACATTTACCGGTATTTGACATTTTAAACTACGTTACTAAGATCACAGTTACAACCTGTTTTACGTCTACTGAAATAGTTTGTCAAAGTTATCGAAGGGATTGTCATCATTGTGTCCCGAGTACTGGGTTAGGGATGTCGGGGTGGGGGCCTGGTATGCGTTGTTACAGAGATAGTTGGATTGTTACTAGTAACATTATTTTATTTGCCAAGGATGATGGTATTGTTCGCCCTGAATCGGGTACTGTGACGTGCGAGCTGACAGCACGTGTCTTGGTAGAGTCCTACTTTCCTAAAAAAAAAATATTTTTTTTTAAAATTAGGTCCATAGGCGCATCTAGGGTTAGTGCCCCAGGGGCGGACTAAGATGTTAGCACTCCTTTCACAAAAAAATATCCACAGCTGACCGAAAATGCCGCCCCTTCAATATATAGAAAAAAAGAGGGCCGTGGGTGGAAGGGGGCCGAACCACCCTTCCGTCCCCCTTACCAAGCAACGGTTGGATCAGTCCAGTTATGGACATGATTTCGTCAGTCCTAACGGTACTTCCGCCTTGACAAGCCCCCCTCCCCCCCCCCCCCCGTCAGTGGCGTAGATGCGGGGGTGCGGACAACACAGGGTGATACCATCTCAGGAGGGTGATACCATCTCAGGAGGGTGATACCATCTCAGAAGGGTGATACCATCTCAGGAGGGTGATACCATCTCAGGAGGGTGATACCATCTCAGGAGGGTGATACCATCTCAGGAGGGTGATACCAACCTGAAAAAAACAACATATTTACTGAGCACACACTGCTCGGTCTAACCGAATTTCATAAAAGGATAACCGATCACATTTAAATTTCTCCACACATGCAATCAATCCAAGTGCGCGCTTCATTAAAAGTTCAAATTGATGCGTCAGAAATGAGGTAAGCCTATAATTAGTTCAGGAAAAACTCCTTTTTGCCCATGATTCATCGTCGATTGAAGTGTTCTGAAACTTTCGTAAGTGACAGGAAGCTATATTTATCTAAATTCTGAGAAATAAAGCTTTCCATTGATACCCAATACGGTGTGGTCGGGTAATTCTAAGTACATGAATCGAATCGGTAAAAATTAAAAACATTTTTAAAATACTCCTGACCCATACAAAGAGTTAACAAAATTTTTTTTTTTTTAAATATTCTGTTATCTTTTAATAATTAATTTAAATAAATTGTCAAGATTTTTGTAACCAAATCTATCGAAACCCAGAAATACTAAAAAATTTATATTTTCGCCGATTCGTCACTAACACCGCCCCGTAACATTTGAGAACTATTGTCATACAGCACAAGGTCTTTTACATGCTGTCTGTGATTTCACGTTTATCTGCTGCTACCTTTACCTTTAGGCTGATCTACTTGAGGAAGTTAATCTTAAACAATAGTATCTGCAGACTAAAGGCTTTACTCTTGACAAAGTGGTGACCAGCCTAAAGGCCTTAGGACGGGCTGTGACTGTTCAAGTCAAACCATGAGTCAACTATCAGCAAGGCAAGAACATT